AAGGGAAGGTGAGAGACAAACATGGCCGTAAAGAACAGACGTGGTAACAAGCATTATTTATGTCCTATGGCCCAACATTTAGTGGAAACATATGATGTACAATGTGTAACAATGATTATGCTAAAAGTTCCTTTTGAATATTCATCGGAAGCAATGCCCTATAGGTTGGTTGCTACCTTATAACTTGGATACAGAGCGTTGCGCCTTTGAGCAAAGAAAACACAGGATCGGTTTGCTATGATGCAACTGTTGCGTGGGAAGATTCGCTGATGAGAGTAGAATATGCTGACCCAGGGAAAGCCAGTGGGTCCGTTGGACTCACACATGGGTAAGTTTCGCAAACATAGCAGCGAATAATTGAGGAATGAACACCTGTAAATGAGAAGCTAAGGGGCTTCTCTGTACTGACCATGTGAGACAGTGCCGAATTACAACGCTAAGAAGGGCTAATTGACGGAAGCACAGCGAATAGCCAGAATACATGCGTACACTAAGTTTGCTGAGGATATCAGAACCTGAGGCCTAACCGCAGCAGCCAGAGTGCTAGGGTAATATTGCCAAGCTGGATAGAGCCATGGACTGCTAGCCCGAGACTTGGAGTATTGCAGGTAAAAAATGCCTAAGACAATACAGCAAGTAATGTATAGATAAAGGTCTAGAAATGTGAGGCAGAAGAGCGGCTTACGCTGAATACCTGGATATGCTTGCACGACAGAATAAAGCTAAGAGAGGTTTCGTGATAGAAGCACAGCGGACAAGTAAAGCGCAAGCGTACAAAGAGGTTGTTAGATAGTTAGAGCATGATAGACTACGACGCATCGACGCGCAGCTAATCAAATCATGCGGTGGTGCTAATGGAGTATAATTAAGGAGGGCCTGAACCGGGAGAAGCCAGTGCGGAGGAGGAGCTGGAGGAGTTCAGCTTTTTGTTGTTTTTTGTTTCTGTTTTACGACAGTCCATTAGGTGTTTTCGTTGTCGCGGTATGGAGGCATAATAAAATGGCCATTCTTTTAGGTGCAAAAGCCTTCAAGCCTTTTTTTCTGCAAGAACAGAAAACCAGTAGCCTTTTCAGCTTATAATTAACTTAGTGGACACCTGGAATCTATGTCAACAGACTTGGCAAGTGTAATGTGACGCAACGCAGTTCCAAGGGGAATTTAAAGTTTTTGAAGGGATATTAATTAAAAGGGATTAATAATATTATTTTTAAAAGGATTTAAATTATATTAAAGTTCATATCTGTGTGGACCTTTGAAGCTCAGTAAGTCTTATATGCGCAAGATGATAGTTAGCTTATGAAGAAGGAGTAAATTAGGAATGCTTCATACACGGGAGAGTCGAGTAAATATGTCAAGGTTAAGACGAGGAAGAAACAGGGAACAGTAAAGGGAATGGATGGGCTAGGTTCCAGTTTTAAATAAATATATTTATATAATTAGAAGTCTGTAGGGTATTAGACGAGGAGGAACAGTTTAAGGGTTCGCTGTGTCTCTGTTTTCGCTGTTTCGCTTGGGTGGTAGTGGGTAACTCGACGAGTGGTTGGGTTCTCGTTGGGCTGCTCGGCTTGGTATGTGTGTGTAAGCAGTGAATCAGCAATGGAAAAAAATCATTAACATAAGGGTAATTGCATTTTGAAGACTTGTTCCCTTTTCCTTTTTTTTTAGTTGCTAATAGTGTTATATGCCTACAATTACCCATAATAAGAATCAGCACAAAAAAAGCGGGGCGGCTGGAAGAGGTTATTTATGTGCCGCAGCCAGACATAGTCAAAAGAATGTTTTGAGATAAGAAATTGAGATTAGAAGAGTAGAAAGAGAGAGCAGGCCCTCTGGCTCTTAGCCAAAGAGCTACAGAAGAATGCGATGGGAAAGCCCTACGACCACTACTTGATGCTTGGCCCGCATTCCCTAAAGCAGAAGTGCTTAGGTTTTAAGAGGGGATTAGATCCACAGGTTTTGCTCCTCTCTGACAGGAGCAGCGCGCCCCGACGCCCTGCACCGCGCCACAACCATTCGCACCCGTCACCCGCGCCACCACGCTCACCCAAGCATAGGCTACGTTCTTGTAATTAAATAAAGCCAAACATAACTGGCTCGGTGCGCCCTCGTGTGCTAACTAATCCAGGCAATGTTGTGGGGGCGTTTGTTTACTTTGTCAGTGTTTGTTGTTTGTCAAGGCCTTCTGGGGGTTTTGTGCGTTGCTTTTGCTTTTTTTTTGCGTTTTCCTCTAATTGCGTAATCTAGGGGGTTCGATCGATCGAATAATATCGATACGGTTTTTTTCAGCCTTCAGGGGGATTAATATAATATTATAAATTCTTAATGTGATATAAATTTAAGTTCATCTCTCACGGAAGTGGTCTACAACTAATCCGGATTTGCGGGGGAGGAGGAAAAGAAGAAAGAAAAAAAAAGAGAAAGAGAAAGAGAAAAAAAAGAAGAAAAGAGAAAGAGAAGAAGAAGAGGAGAAAGAGAAAAGAAAGAAGGAAGGAGAAGAAAGAGAAAGAGAAGAAAAAGAGAAGAGAAAGGAAGGAGAAGAAGAGAGAAAGAAGAAAGAGAAGAAAAGAGAAGGAAAAGAGAAAGAAAGAGAGACAAGAAAGAAGAGAAGAAATGAAGAAGGAAGAAAGGAAAGAAAGAAGGAAAGAGGGAAAGGAAAGAAGGAGAAAGAAGAAAGAAGAAGAAAGGAGAAGGAGGAAAAGAGAAGAAGAAGAAAAGAGAGGAAGAAGAAGAAAGAAGAGAAAGAAGAGAAGAAGGAGAAGAAGGAGGAAGAGAGTAGAGGAAAGAAGAAAGAGAGAATGGAAGAGGAGAAGACGGAGAGAGAGAGGAGAGAAAGATAGGAGAGGACGATAGGAGAAGAGAGAGGAGAGAGCATAGAAGGAAGAGAGGAGAGGAGAAAGAGGAAGGAAAGGACCCTTCGGTTTTTTGCCCCCTTGCCCCGTTTTGCCGCTAGCGGCTCAGTCAGACAGCAACTAGGGATTAGTTACCGCAGGGGCGGGCGGGGGGCTAGAAATAGGTGTATTGGTGGTAAGCCACAAATGTGGTATTGTTATGGTGTAGTGTAATAATATGTTGGTTGTTGTTGTTTTTTGGTAAGGAATACATCAAAAATACTTAATGGAAAGATCAGCTCTATATTGTATATATGAAAAGGAAAATTATATAATTAGCTTGCTTCAGCTGACTGGGAATTAGATGCGCTGAAGCTTCGTTACATCCGAAGAAGTTCTTCGCTTATGTTAAGAGACGTTGGGATTCAACTTGGGTAATTCCAACTTTGCAGCGGACTGATGGAGCGCAAGCATTTCGCCATGCGTGTACGCCGGACTCAGCTTTCTCTGGAACCCCTCAGCTAAGGCTCTTTCGTTCCAAGCGCTGTTCTTTTACAACATTGGCCTGAGCAGTGTTGTGCAAGAAGCTTTTTTATTTTGCAGCAGCTCAGCAGGCTCTTTTTTGTGCTGAGTGTTTGAATCTGCGTTGTTTTTGACTAGCGTTTTTTATCTTGTCTCCAGAGTTGAGCAGTAGTTACCTGAGGGTTCTTATTTAGCTGAGCTACCGGGGTGCGGGTGGAAGGAATGCACCACGATTTTTTTTGTGTTTATCGTAAAATTGGAATGGAATAGGTACAAGGTGGGGGGGGCGTGGAATGGGGAGGAAAAAAAGGGGAAAGAAAAAAGGAAAAAAATGCAATATTTTTATCTGTTCCTCCTTTCTTAGTTTGCTACCAAGCACCTCTGAACCCTTCATAAAGTGGAGGAAATGATCTTGGAACTGTTGGCATGGACTGGGAGGGATAGGATTCTGGTTGGTGGAAATTGGAACTGACCTTGGGGAATGAGAAAACTGATTTCAGTACACCTAAAAGTTCCGAATTATGAGGTTGGCGGTGGCGGGTGGAAGACTGGGTGGTGCGGGACATGTTTAACAAATGCGGGGGGTTTGGGAAACTAAACAGCATCGTTGACAATGGTATTTCAGAAGAAGTTCACTTTGACAACAATACCTTAACTTCTGACTCTTGAAGGAGGGCTCTCTGCTTTTTCCTTGACCCATCCTTGTTCCTAATCTCCACCCAAATATGGCTCCGACCGCCCCAGGACACGGTATGCCAAAAGTTGATAACAAAAATTTTAGGCCAAGTATACAGTGTTGAGTCAGTCTGACTTTGAACATGGGATCTAGCGGGCCGTGGTGGTCAACCTGCTATGCTTTGTGTAAAGGCTTCCTTTTGGTGGGGGAGGTTGGGGGTGTTTTGAGAAAAGGCATTTGGGGGAGAAGAGTGAGGAGAAGGGGGAGGTGAGGGAGGTGAAAAAAGGCTTTTGAGGGTTGACTATGGGGGGCGGGGAGAGAGAGAGGGGAGATTAGGTGGGGGGGGAGATGGGAGCAGGGAGAACTTCTGGGGTGTGGGAGGGAGATATAGAGCGAGAGAGTGTTTCGGGGAGGAGAACGGTGGAGGGAGAGGTCGTTGGTGAGGAAGGGAGTTGGGGAGATAGAGAGAGGGAGGGGAGTACGTAGGGTTAGAGTCGTAGCGTCGTGATTGTCGTTCCGATTTTTGTCCGCGTTGGTGTTTTAGAATGTTGAAGTGTGTTTTGGGGCGTTTTTTTTCTTCGTGTTGGTCGGGGTGTGGTGTTGACTGTGGGGGTGACTGCGTCTCCCGAAGATATTAGGGGTGAATCGATGTGCGGTAGGGGAAGTTTATGTTGGGAACAGCTGGATAGTCCGAGATTGGAAGTGGGTGGGGGTGTTAAGTGTGGTCGGATGATTGTCGGGGGGGTGATATTGTGGAGTGGTTTTGGGAAGGAAGTTGTGAGTACAGGGGTGTTAGTATAAGGGTTTTTTGGTACGTGGTGTGTTGTGCTTTCCTCGCGAAGAATTTGCGTTGGTTGTTTGGTTTTTGCACGTGTGAAGTTTGGACCCGAGACACTTATCGCAGGCACGTGGGGACAAGTTCGGACACAAACACACCCACCCACTCCCCCTGGCCCCCCCCCCCCCCCCCCAACCTACGGTTGGGGGAGTGGATATTGATTACTTTTATCGATGTGTTGTACTGGGTACTTTTCGGGCGAGTTCTTTTTCCGCCGAAATGTTCGATATTTAGCGAAACCAGCTTTCTCGTATTTGTCTTTGGTGTTGTTGTTTTCTAGTAAACCTATCTCCGCCATGAACCCTGTACGTCCATTAGTACAAGAGCTGACCCCCCCTCCCCCCCCCCCCCCCCCCCGGTTATTTACGGACTTTCTGTCCCGCGCCGCCGGCCATTCACGGTGTTGTCTGCAATTCTCTTGACTGCCTGCCATTTCTTACATGATAAAAGAGTAGCTGGTTCGCTGGTTGCTCGTGGGGGAGTTTGTGTGGTGTGATCCAGAAAATGCGGATGCAACTGAACTTCACGTTCATATGTTAATTCAAACTTGGGTAAAAGGGTAGATTTTGAATGTGAACATTATAGGAACAAAGATCGCCTATAGTATCTTGATAGCGTAGAAATTCATTCCTAGACGCACATCACATGCTGTTTCACTGGCAGATCGCGTCGTTATGAAAAACGCTCTCTCCCACAGGGAATGTCGCATGGAACCTCGTGTGTAGTGGCTCCTGAACTACAAGCTTTCATTGTATTCTGCTAATTTTATATGTCAGCTTATGAGCGGTAGTGGAATCGTCTGCGGGTGGAGATATTTTCTCACCTGTTCGCTTGGTGGACCCGACTATGAGAGTTCTCATATTTTCTTCCTCACACGGAATCCGGAACTTACTGACGAATCAAGGCGAGCTGCCAAGCGCCCGCGTTGGAGTAAAGGACGCAGATCCAGGTTAATGTCCTAGCTTTGGAACAGCGAATGTGAGGAATACGCAAGCGCGCATTATGGTTTTTACATTCCACTGACAGCAAAATATACCTCGCTTGCATAGCGCTTGCTTGTGATACTCACCCTTGTACTTAGCGTTCATCCGTTCAATCCATACTAGTGCACTGTGGGGCGGACCTGCGGAGAAGAAAAGGGGCAAGTGCCCCTATGGTGTACCATCTAGTTTAAGGCTGGGGCGACTTAGTGGGATAGACGGATGCTGGGGGACTGCAAATAAACGCACAGTGCCAGCCGAGTATTGACGGTGGGACATGCATGGCTATAATATTAGGGCTTGAGAATATATCTTTAAAAAACGTAAATGATCGTTACACATTCATTCTACGGTATCTGTGGTGGGTTCTCATGCAGCATGAGTGGTAAAATTTTATATTCGTCGTAGTGGTTCTCCGGGCGCGAGATACTTAGTAAATCGTGCTAAAGGTTGGTAAAACTCTTTTGCTATTTGAGAACGAATGAGTTCTAGCGCTTGTCGTGTGCCAAGCCGCTCGGAGACATGTACTAGCCTAAATTTAGACTGACGGAATTTGAGCTGTCTCAAGCGATAATCAAAGCTCCCATATCATTAAGCGATTAAAGTGATCCCACGCTTGTGAATCTTGGCGCAGGATTCTCTCATAAGTCGGCTCGGGCTACTACAGAATGCGCCAATTCGTTTGTCTTAGTATTTTTAACTCTCCATTGATAACGGTTTTGGTTGTGATAGATGGTAAAGTGGACACAAAAAAGTCCGATTGGTTTATTTTGACGCAACCGTTCGTACCGTCACATGCCCGCCAATTCGCCGTCTTTTGCTCGTGAGGTGCGCTATTGGTCTTCGAATTTCTTCTCCATGTGCATGGAGCAATTCAGCCCATGGTTAGGCTATGTGGTTGACCGTGCTTTTTCAAAGAATAATTAAGGTGTATTTGTACGCCCCTCGAAAGTTGCGCAAATTAGGGTATAGCGACGTAGCGCTCAGCATACTGTGAACCTCCGTGTTTGTGTGATTATGTTTACCCGTCTCAATTGCAATATCTGGTTGCGGCCCGTATCTACGCTGGCCACTGTATTTGGATGACTGAGCTACGAAGTCCCTTAGTACCGGGTCCAGTTAGTTGCAAAGGCAAATACCAATCGGATTCGCAGATGGGAATGCCAAAGAGTAGCATTCAACGTAGTTTGACTTGGAACTCTGCTTGCTTGTTTTCCAGAATACAAGACACAGGAAAGAGAATGTTCACAGTGTGCCATCTCAGGTTGAAGAAACATTGTGGTTCTGTGTGGCGGAAGGTTGGTTTGAGTGTTGTGTAATACCCCTTTGGAGTTCTTGGTGGGCGCTAAAACACCGGTGTGGGAAAATGCGTCCAGTCGCTCGTGCTGGGGCTAGAAAAAAAAAAAAAAAATAAAAAAAAATTTTTTTTTTTTGGGACGCCCGTGTGTCAGTTGGAGCAATTGTATTTTTTATATAAACTTCTATTGCAAGATTCATTGCTCGTGTATATGATTTTCCTAGTGCAAGTGTAGACGTGGGCGATTTTATGCCCGATCTACTAATGAACTACCAATCGAAAAGATGAATTAAACCCGCCTTAATATCTCTTTCTTTAACCTTCGCTCCTGCCGGTACCCGCGCAATAAAGAACAACAGTCCACAAGAAAGCAACGATTCGGTAATTCAACGCTTACGTTTTTGCTGCTATCGCGACTATACGATCTGTTTAGAATTGAGAGATATTGCTGAACATAATTAATTTGCTATGGATGGTGTGATTAGTACATGACCCTTTTATATGAAGCAAATGTGCGTTATGCACGAGATTATTTTTTGTTTCATATAATAAAATAGTATTTTTTTTGAACCTACTCTTGT